CATGTCTCTCTCTCTCTCACACACACACACACACACACTGCTGGGCTCTTTAATTAGACGAGCCGTTTCCATCTGTTCCGATCAGGTTACTGTGAGTCTCCATGTGTGTGTCACAGCGGTGTATGAAACACAAACACACTCACACACAGAGCGAGCCCACATCCCGCGGACACACACACACACACACACACACACACTGACGCTGTACAGTTAGTAAACGAGAGCCAGTGTGTTTGACTTTCAGCGTAAAAGCTGATCACTAGACTGACCTCCTTCACACCGATATTCGTCATTACTTTCATTCAAAAGAATGAGTCAGTCAGTACACACACACACACACACACACACACACTGACGCTGTACAGTTAGTAAACGAGAGCCAGTGTGTTTGACTTTCAGCGTAAAAGCTGATCACTAGACTGACCTCCTTCACACCGATATTCGTCATTACTTTCATTCAAAAGAATGAGTCAGTCAGTACTAGTGCTGCTGTTCAGAGTTTAATGTTCAGACTCACAGTCACTGCTCACTTAATTCCTGAAAAGTGATGCTTTCATTACACCGGTCTGTGTTCGAGTGGCCTGACATGTAAACATCTGACTCAACCAATCGTGTAAGTTTGAGGCGGGACTATCTGTAGGACTGACCAATGACAGACAGGGAAGTGTTCAGGGAAACCTGTCTGAAAACACCCACTATTTGTGTTCAGCAAACGGCCTGGAGTCATTGGGCTTGATTGAGATGCGCCTCGCCTAAACATTTTAGAGGAGAACGCAGCATCACGATTGTCTGAACCAACGAGCATTAAGCGGTGTCGTCAGCCAGTCGTTTCCCATCATGCTTTTGGTCAGCGCAGTCAGTGGAGTGCAATCCGACACAGCCGCCTCGCCAGAGTTTTTTTGGCACACGTCAGCGTGACATCAGAGCAAGTCGGACGTAACTCGGACACTTTTCTAACCGGCATGCATGTCGCGGTGATCACCGGTGATCGGTTCTGAGCAGATTTTGATCATCTCACACAAGCCTAATATATCTCACTGCTAACCTTTGAAGTCAACGTGCGTCTCTGATTGGCTGATTGGTGCAGAGTGTGTATCTCTGATTGGCTGGCTGGAGCTGTGAGGTTGCCGTGGCGATGCCAGGTCCTGGCCGGCCGCGAGTGGCAGATCTCCAGTTCGGAGGAAGTGCCACACTGTGTGTGTGGGAGTGTTCGTGTGTGTCACTGAGTTTGTTTGTTCCCGGTTCAGAATTACACCTCATGTTAACAGACTGACACAAACCCACAAGCTACAGCACAAACACACATTTGACTCACACACACAGAGTAATGTTTGTACGTACGCTGATGATCTTCTCGGAGGTTCCGGGCCGAGCGATGTGCGGATCGAGTCCCACCAGCCCCGGCAGCGTCTGGGACATCCAGTTAGTGACCAAGATCATGGTGCTCAGAACCGCACCGACCTTCAGCAGAGGAGCGCTCATGTCCCGCCGCCCGAGCTCACCGTACACCAGACCCACAGTCCTTTCAAAGAGGAAAGTTTGTTAAATCAACTCAGAAACCACAGGTGGATCCCAGACAAACTCAAACCCAGATCATAAATCAATCTGATGAAGATGAGTGGAGTCCAAACGTCCCGATTCACTGCTGACCGGAACAGAGAACAGCAGCAGACGAACGTCTCACGATACTAAACCTACAGAGAGAGAGAGAGACCGGCAGGAAGGGAGAGATGGGAAGGTGTGTCTCTCAGGAAGACACAGGAATTCCCATAAGCATTCCGGCAATGTGAAAAAAAAAGAAAAAAAAATAGAAAATAAAATAAAAATATGAAATAAAACTAAATTAAATAAATACATTTAAATAAAATAAAATACAAAATAAAATATAAAATAAAACAAAAAAATTAAAATAAAATAAAGCAAAAAAAAAAAAAAAAAAAAATACAATACAAAATAAAACAAAAAATAAAATATCTAAAATACAATTAAAAAAAATAAAATAAAATATAAAAATAAAATAAAAAATAAAGCCTAAACAATCTGAAATCATCAGAGAATAATGAGACTATTGAGGTGTAAATGTGTTTCACTAGCATAAAAATAATGTGAAAATAACAATTTAATATATTTTAAATAAAATTATATTTTTTGTCATAAAATTTGACCTGGATGTGTTTTCATGAGAAACTCACATAAAAAGCACATTTCATAAAACTAAATATATTTCATTGCTCTTTCTATCAGATGAATCACACATTCTGAATCATTCGCTAACTCTTGAGCTGATCTGTGTGAATCAGTGTAAATCACGCCTTCTAAACCGGGTGGTTTTATAAAGTAATAGTTTTATTTATAAATCTCTCCTCTCAAACAGTACTTATCAAAACCACAGTCAGAGAATCTCCATCCATATTCAACACTACAAACAAACCGGTGGACATCGAAATCCCCATCCCGACGACCGTACGACTCCCGACCCGCTGCATGGAGCTGCGGCCATGTCTTTCCCACAATGCACTGCCAGTTTGACTCATTACATCATGTAAACAAGTTAAAATACAGCCTCATGTAGCACCAAGATTACGAAACATTCATACAAACAAATACAAAAATACATCGACATCTTTCAAACAATAATACAAAATAACTGTGAATCTCTGTGAGGTCTGATCTCCGTAAACAGCCGAACACAAGAGCGTCTGGATGCGTGTCATCATGTCACATGATCGCCCTTCAAGCACCACTTCCTGTTCTCAGACAAACGCAAGCAGCTGAAGGACTGATGTATAAATATATACACTGTCAAAGTCTGTTCTTGACTAGCCGTTGAAGCAAACCTTCCCCACGCTGAAGCCAAACTTCTGTTTCGTGCTCCCGAAATCTGTCACGGCCACGTCCACGAGAGGCAGAGCGTCCGACTGCGGAGAGTCCACCTCCAGAACGGTGCGGTCCTGCCCCGAGCGCGACTGCACACACAGAGAAACACACCACACGACGCTGTGATCAACACATGACAGAGTCATTAATAGGGCCTTTCGCACCGCTTTAGTTCCAGAACTAAATGTACAGTACTAAAGTACTGGGACGATTTTGCGCGAACTATTTCCCAGTACCATTTAAAGGGTTGTATTCACACCGAGAGTGTGTACTAGGAACCGGTCGATAGCGATGTCATTTGTGTGCGGCGTTCAACAACAGAAACAAAGAAGAACAACATTAACAACAGGAGGATGGAGGACGCTGTGATCGGAGCTGTGTGTTTGTTGTGTCTCGCGGGTTTCACAATAATGGACATGGAAAGTCGACGTATACGTAAAGCGACTGAAAGAACGGAAAGGAGGACTAAGAATCTCCAACGACAACTGGCAGTGCTAGATTGGGAATTGGTCCAGGATTCACTGAGTCACTCATGTGAATTGGTCCAGGAATCACTGAGTCACTCATGTGAACTGGTCCAGGATTCACTGAGTCGGTCCTGTGAACTGAAGGTATGGAGTGAGGTGAGCGTGTACCTGACAGCCGTCGAGCGTGGGCTGGATGTAATGCGCGTTCTGCTGCGTCAGCTCCTCTCCGTTGCTGCCTCTGAAGCGCAGCGCGTGCCTGTAGCTGAGGGAGGTGCTGTCGAACCCTCGATCACCTTTCTCTCCGAACTCACCCGGTGGCCCAATCAAACCGATCAGACCGCCATGACCCTGACACACACACATAATGAAATCATGAGCATGTACTCTGTGTGTGTGTGTGCGTGTGTGTGTGTGTGTGTGGTGATGTACTTTCTCTCCTTTCTTGCCCGGATCTCCCTTCAGTCCTGCCAGTCCAGCGGGACCCTGCGCACATGTAATGCAATCATCAGTCTGACGTCATATTAAAGATCAGTGCATGAGGAGTGTTATTGAGCCTCACCATCGGCCCCGGGGGTCCTGTTTGACCTGGGGGTCCATTCAGCCCTTGTTCTCCCTACAGCAGAGAGAGAATGTGATATTCATCTCTATTAAACCAACATTCACAGGCAAGGATCGCAGAACGGACCAAAAGAAGGGGGGGGGGGATTGGTGATTGTTATAAATGACTTGTTTCGTCCAAAGTTTTTGAACAAATCTCTTGAATGAATGATTCAGACATCAAATACATTTTAACAGTCACTAGTCGCCACCTACTGGCACAATGTTACACATACAATCTATATTTGAAGCGTATCATTAATTCCAAAAGTCTATTACTCAATTTGATGGTCTATATCTGGACTATAAACTTTTATCCCAATACTTTCGTTATTATTTCAAGTTTGGGTAACACTTTATTTTGATAGTCCACTTTAGACATTCTACTAACAGTAAGTAACTTTGCAGCTACATGTCAACTAGCAGTCATTAGAGTATTAGTAGACTGTCTGCTTAATATCTTCTAACACCTTATTTTGATGGGTCCACAACATACAACACACTGACTATGAGAAATTTTGCAAGTATATGTCAACTTATTCTACTAACCCTAAACCTAACCTAACAGTCTACTCTGAGAGTTAGTTGACGTGTAGTTGCAAAGCTACTTATAGTTAGTAGAATGCTTAAAGTGGACTATCAAAATAAAGTGTAACCCATGTTTGCAACACAGAAATGTAGCCTACTGTGTAGAGTGTTTGTAAAGCTGTTTCAAACATAAAGCTTACACGATGAGCACTGCTCTCAAAGGTTTAACAGGCATAACAGAATCATCGTCATTTAGGAATAAAATTGTGTGTTTGAGTCCAGATCGAGATCTTTTAATGATTAAAAGTGCATACATATGAGCCTATAGCCTATGTATTTTTGTACGCTATATTTGTACAAGATCTCAAAAGTAACCCGGCCCCCCCGCTTCCGCAACCCATGCTCACAGGTATCTAAGAGGAGACCTCAGCTCCAGGCCAGCAGGGGGCGTCAGCCAGTGTTTGATTCAGCTGAGCACACCGCTTCAAATTTCATGCAAGGATGAATGAACAATAAGACCTTAAACATGCATTTGGAAAACAGGGTCAATTTCCATTTCATGCGTACACTAAGGATATTAATGGGTGATGAGGCTGTATGTAAACTCGCGAGTCAAGGGCTCATGTTCATTTGTTCAGATGAGTCACATGGGTTTGAGCAGAGAAAAAGCATCAACAATAAGAGGAACTGAGCTCACCGCTGGTCCAGGGATTCCTGGAAGCCCCTGAAGTCCTGCTTTCCCTGGGTTCCCCTGACCGCCCACTGGCCCCTGCTTTCCCATGATGCCTTCGTATCCTGGAGCTCCCTGAACACAGACCCAGAGGCAGCATAATGAATTCGAATGACAACCAACGATTAGTTCACTAGGACATCCTTTCAAATCTCATTCAGGAGTTTGCAGGAACCGAGCTTTCGCTCCTATGATGCTGCACTCATGTCACAACATAACTTATCCAGTGTGACAGAAAATGAATAAAGACTCAGCGAGTCTACTGAATGTCTCACCTTGTCTCCTTTTAGCCCTGGCCGCCCCTCTTTTCCAGGAGGACCCAAGTGACCCTAAACACAAACCCGGAGAGACAAAAGCACATAGAAGCTCCACACGTACACAAACAAAGTTGAATCATGTTGTAAATAACCTGATTCCTCACAAACACACACTCACCCTGCGTCCTGGTCTTCCTGGTGGTCCTGGTTCTCCAGAGGGTCCTGGAGGGCCCTAATCACCAGAGTAATGAGAAGGAGAGGGTCGAAAACATGCTGAGAGATCATCATCTCAACACCACTGGTGTTTCAACTACACCTGCCTCTACACATGCCACAACACTATCACTGCCCTACACAGATCCAGAGCCACCAGGAGCCTCGTACAGAAGCACATGAGCTTACATGAATGACATAAACATAAGAGAGACTCACAGATTTGCCTGAATCGCCATTATCTCCTTTAGATCCAGGAGTCCCGTCGATTCCCTGAGAGAACAGACGAGATCTTTCACCATCAGCACGTCACTTAACAAACTGACATCAGTGAAGATACTCACGTTAACACCTGGCTCTCCAGGAGCCCCCATATCTCCAGGAAAACCAATAGGACCCTGTAGAGGGAGATAGACAGAGGATAAGTCAGCTAACACACTAGATAACCACAGAGGTCACACACACACACACATACTGACCGCATTCCCCTTCGCTCCGTCTTCTCCAGATGCTCCTCTGGCTCCCGGTGAACCTGCAGCTCCGGGTGGTCCCGTGTCTCCTTTCTCACCCTGCTCACCTTTCTCGCCCTGAAAACACACACACACACACACACACACAGAGGTGTCAAGTGTTGCTGTGGTAGTAAAGAAAGTGTTGATGTGGAATAAAGATCAGAGAAGGAGAGATAGACTCACTGCACTGCCAGGAACACCAACAGGTCCAGGATCACCAGACTCTCCATCTTCACCCTGTCAATCATAATCAGATATAACATGATGTGTGTGTTTCATCAGATCATGTGATCACCAGCAGGAACATCTGGATGATTTACCTTCTCACCAACTCCACCAGGCTGACCGCGTACTCCAGGACGGCCAGGAGGACCCTGAAAGACAAATATGTTTTAAAAAATGTTTAATAAATAAATGCGAAAAAATTTTTTTTGTAGAACTAGTTTAGAAAATGATGGGGGTGAGTGTGTTTACCTGTCCACCTGAGGGTCCCTGAGCTCCTCTAGGCCCAAACTGACCAGGAGGACCCTGAAAACACACAAACACACACCACACACATTGAATTTACATAGAGATCAATAAACATGATCATGAATGACAGATGAATTGATGAGCTCACCAGTAGACCAGAGTTCCCGCTCTCTCCTTTCTCTCCTGGAGGACCGGGCATCCCCTACACACACACACACACACACGTATCTGCATTATATGACGGGCCTCTGTCACACTGACATCTGCAGCTCATGTTTTCTCATCGAAATAGAGGAGATATGGTTGATGATTAGGTACCTGTAGCCCAATGGGGCCCTTGGAGCCCTTGAATCCTCTGAGGCCCTCGTCTCCCTTCTGTCCGTACATGCCCTGCTGTCCTGGAGGACCGGGCTCACCGTCCACACCCTGACACACACACACATTCAATCACACACACACTCTCTGCACACAGCGAAAACATGAAGATGCTGTTGCTCCTCAAACACTCACTGGTACTCCCGGCTGCCCCTCTGGCCCCTGAGTGCCGACTGGTCCTGGAGGCCCCTGAGAGCAGATTTAAATCATTGGTAACACTGTGACGTGTGAATGTGATGTGTGTTTTATTTCCGTCACTCACTGATTCTCCTTTGTCTCCTTTGCTGCCTTTCTGCCCTGGAGCCCCAGTTTCTCCCTAACACACACACACACACACACACACACACACAGAGGACTTTAACTATTAAGCAATAAATACATTTTGTCATTTTCGTTATAAGAAATGCTATCCCCTTCTTCCCCTGAGGACCCTGAGCCAGAGAAAAACACCTGTTAAAGTCTGCTCCACCTGGAGATCTTTCAGACCAGGAACTGTTTGGAGAGGGTTCATCTAGCATATTTTCAGTAAGTTTGTCCCCAAAACCTGCTCACAGGAGTCAGTATTAGTACATCATTTCTAGTAATGGAGAGAGCGGCACCTTTTCTCCTGGTAATCCGATTGCTCCCTGAGGTCCGGGAAAACCCTGCATAACAGAAGAAAGTGTGTCAGGAGTGTGTGTGTGTGTGTGTGTGTGTGTGTGTGAAAGAGTGAGTGTGTGTACCTGGAATCCCGGGTTCCCCTGCTGTCCTGGAGCTCCAGGTTCTCCAGGCGGCCCCTGTGTGAAGACGAGAAGAGTGTGTGATGATGACCTGCAGCTCCAGGGTCTTTCAAAGGGTCATGAACTATTTTCTTTTTTTTTATTTTGTACTGTTCTCTGAGGTCCACTTATAATGTTATCAAGATTTTTACATAAAAAACATCATAATTTAGAAGTAATAGACTATTTTCTGTCTTGTTTTCATCCCCCTCATCAGAACGCTCTGTTTGAATAGGCGGTGGATTGTAGACTCGGAGGTAAACGCCCACTGCTGTGATTGGCTAATAGTTGTGTATATTTGACAGCGTACATACCTCATAGATGGAACCTGCTATGATTTAGGTCAAAAATGCATAGATAACTTAATACATATCAAACGATCTGTAAGAAGTGACAAAGCAATAATGATCACGTAATGAAAAGAGTTACGCTCACTTGTGTGTTGTGACATTACTGTTGGATCAATATAGTCACACAGCAAACACGTCGAATTGTGCCTTGTTTGTAAAATTAAGTGAACAAAGGACCGAGTTCTAACTTACGCTGTCTGGATCTTAAAAATTAAAAATAAAAATTAATTTCATAGATGGAACCTGCTATGATTTAGGTCAAAAATGCATAGATAACTTAATACATATCAAACGATCTGTAAGAAGTGACAAAGCAATAATGATCACGTAATGAAAAGAGTTACGCTCACTTGTGTGTTGTGACATTACTGTTGGATCCAATATAGTCACACAGCAAACACGTCGAATTGTGCCTTGTTTGTAAAATTAAGTGAACAAAGGACCGAGTTCTAACTTACGCTGTCTGGATCTTAAAAATTAAAAATAAAAATTAATTTAATTCACTCTTTCCAATGCAATGCAAAGACCTTCAGAGCCATCTTTATAGTTAGTTTTTTTGCATAGACCTGCGCATTCACTTCTCTCATAAATGCTACATGTGAGAATCGGTGGGTGGGGCTAAACAGGCATTGCTGTAGAATCAGTGGGCGGGGCTAAACAGGCAGAGATGTAGAATCAGTGGGCGGGGCTAAACAGGCAGCGCTGTAGAATCAGTGGGCGGGGCTAAACAGGCATTGCTGTACAATCGGTGGGCGGGGCTAAACAGGCAGCGATGTAGAACCGGTGGGCGGGGCTAAACAGGCAGCGATGTAGAATCGGTGGGCGGGGCTAAACAGGCAGTGATGTAGAATCAATGGGCGGGGCTAAACAGGCAGTGATGTAGAATCGGTGGGAGGGGCTAAACATGCAATGCTTTAGAGAGGCAGGTGTTGATCTTCTGTGGAGGCGGTGCTTATCCACACTATTACATCATAAAGTAGAACATTCCACAAGCTGTTGTTTTGGCAGACTGCCCTAAAGCTGGGCTCACACTACAGGAGTTTTAAAATCCTAACCGATTGTGAAATCTGGTTGCAGCACACACATAAGGAGAATCTTTGCAGATTATCTTTCCTCAAATCTTAAACATGCACACACTACAAGATTTGAAAATCGTGGCGCATCACACACTGCAATATCTTATAAAGATTATCATGCCAGAGGGAGCGCCTCACGTGATCTGATATTTCAGTGATGATAACATATGCTAGCTAGCATGCTAGCAGCTTTCTGCACTCACCCGGTACATTCAAAACTGAGGCAATTTCACCCCAGTGCTTCTCTTTCTCCTTACGTTTGTCGTACGTTTTCGACACATTATACAGACAGTCGTACAAAATATCAAGAAGCAGTTTCCTCTGTCTCCAACAGACCTGTACAGCAGCTGTTTTGCGTATTGGCTATTGTGAAAGTACTGATGTAATCATATAGCCGTCAATCATCATCCCGATTTTAACCCTAAATATCAAACATGTTTGATATTAATAGTGGCGGCCCCGATTTGTGTGCGAGCAGATCGGGAAGTGCAAAGTTTGATCTGTGAACGCCTCACATCACCAGATAATCTGCGCCGAACATCGGGACCGATGGCGTTCTCGACAAGATTTTTCCTCCGATTGTGGGGAGGGGAAAATCGGGGCTAAATCGGGCTAAAAATCCTGTAGTGTGGCTTTACAGGATATTTTTATAGTACAATGACCTCTTATGTGTCAAAAGATCAAGGGAATTGTGGTTTCTCAGTTCATGACCCCTTCAAGACATCTCAGATCAGCAGAACTCACCATGTTTCCCTTTGAACCCTGAACTCCATCAACCCCACGAATACCCTGGCAAACACACACACACACACACACACATGATCCATATGACGCTTTGATGTGACCTGTTATCTGAGGAGGTCAGTTGTATCATATGAACACAATAATGAGACCCAAACACACAGAACGAGGAGTTTATCCACTTACCTGCTGTCCTGGAGGACCAAGAAGACCCCTCTGACCCGTCAGCCCTGCTAGACCCTAACACACACACACACACACACACACACACATCACTGAGGAATATCTGTTAACACACAATCAGTCCCTGACACACACGTCAGTGGATCAATGAAGATGATGAGCAATACGTCATACTATGAGTGACTACAGGAGTGAACACATACAGGCTCTCCTGGCTGACCTCTCGGCCCCGGCTGACCCTCTGAACCCTGGGAAGCAAACAAACATTCACTCTCAACCTGATCAAAGACAGACAGACAGAAGTTACAGAAGAATATAGAAGAAATGCTCACTGACTTTTTCTCCAGGGCCTCCTGGAGGACCGACTGGCCCCTTCTTCCCTTGATCTCCCTGCACACACACACACACACACGCGCGCACACACACACAGATGAATGTTTCTGATCTGAGGTTCACATTGATGTTTAATGAGTGTTAATGGAGAGTGTGTTACCCGGTGACCCTTGTTTCCAGGCAGACCCGGTAACCCATCAAACCCTCTGTCACCCTGAAAACAGCACACACAGAGCTCTTCATTTGTGTTGGACTAGAACTTCATGTTCCAATCACAGCATTTTACAAGTCTTCAGCAGAGAAACATTCGACTACTGCATGTATGAAATATCAATGAATACACACAGCAGACATATGAAACCAGACCCATGAGATTATATATTGTGCATCCTCTCATCTTCATCGACACATTCATCTCTGACACGTCCTGTTGTACTGATGGAGGTTCATTATGAGGGACAGTGTGTGATTGGTCAGCTCATCGTATTCATGATATTTGATCTGTCAAACTGAGATCAGATTCATTTCAAGAGCCAACAGTATAACTTACTTTAGTTCCAGTCTCTCCTGGTTCACCTCTGGCTCCGTCGATCCCTCCACGACCCTGAACACACACACACACACACATACACAGGTGTGTTTCAGGTGTTCACACAGGTATCTGATGCTGTTTGTTGTGTTTAGTTGCAACTCACCCTCTTGCCTAGTTTTCCATTGAGTCCCGGAGCCCCCAGAAGCCCACGAGGACCCTAAAGACACACAATAATAATCAGAAATATTTCTCGAGCAGCAGAGCAGCATATTATACTGATTTCTGAAGATCATGTGACACTGAAGACTGGAGGAATGATGCTGAAAATACAGCTGCGCATCACAGAAATACATTACAGTTTAACACATACGCACATAGAAAACAGATATTTTACATTGTAATAATATTTTTACTGTAGTTTTGATCAAATAAATGCTGCCTTGGTGACTTCTTTCAAAACATTAAAAATCTTAATGATCCCACACTTCTGACTGGTATGCATGTGTATATGAGATGATCAGATGAGTGTCTCCTCTCGTACCGGAGGTCCTGTGAACCCATGATCACCCTTCAGACCCCGCGGGCCCGAAGATCCCTGACAAACACAAACACAAACACAAACACACCAGGTCATATATAATCATTTATAACCAATAAACACATTAAACTGAAAGTGAACTCTCAGTCTGATGATTGGAGCTCAATCTGTTGCTCCTCTGTTGATTTGGTTTTTATTTTTGTTCCTTTGTGTTGTATAATTATCCAGATGAAGGTAAAGCTAAATGATGAAGCCAGAAGACATGCAGCTCTTCCTCCAGAGATTCACTGAATAACACAGAGCACAAACACACAGGAGCACTAGAGGGTGCCACACACACGCTTACTCGTCTCGATGGAGTCTGTCCATAGACTTCTGCTGTTTTCATACACAGCCAGTTATAAATACTATAACTCTAACACTAAACCTTCTGCATTTTTACAACATTTTGTCAGGTTTATGTCACTTCTAGGTACAAAATTGTCCCCAAAATACACACACACACACACACACACACACTGTATGAAATACTAACATTTGTTCATTGTAATGTTGAAATAGCAGGTTCTGCCGGTTGAAACACACTCACCAGAGGTCCGGGGCGTCCGGTGAGTCCTAACGGTCCCGGCGGGCCTTTCAGAGAGAGCTGAGACACAAACATCAGCACTGAAGTGAAGCAAACCTCATGTGTTGTCATAAATGGACTGTGTGTTAAAATCCTGATTTTATGCCCCTAAAATCATCTTCAGGACAGTGAGAGCAGAGTTAGAGCAGAGTCTGACCTTAGTGTGCTGCAGGATGGCTTGAGCTTGAGCTTCTTGAGCGGATATGACGGGACCGTGACGAGCGTCACCGCCAGACTGAAACTAACACACACACACACACACACACACTCAATACACAATCAATAATCATACACTAGTGTTCAAAAGTTTGGGGTCAATTAGACTTTTTCAAGTCTCTTCTCCTCTCCAAGGCAGCATTAATTTGATCAAAAGTGCAGTAAAAAAATCTGAAATATTATTACAGTTTTGAACAGCTGTTTTCTATGTGCGTATGTGTTAAACTGTAATGTATTTCTGTGATGCGCAGCTGTATTTTCAGCATCATTCCTCCAGTCTTCAGTGTCACATGATCTTCAGAAATCAGTATAATATGCTGATCTGCTGCTCGAGAAACATTTCTGATTATTATCAATGTTGAACACAGTTGTGCTGCACAATATTTCTGTGGAACTGTGATGCAGTTTATGTTTCAGGTTTCAGAGATGAACAGAAAGTTCAAAAGAACAGCATTTATTTGAAACAGAAATCTATTGTAACATTATAAATGTCTTTACTGTCACTTTTTATCAATTTAATGCATCCTTGCTGAATAAAAGTATTAACTTCTTTCAAAAACAGTTCTTTCTGACCCAAAACGTTTGAACGTTCAGCAAACATAAAAACAAACGTCTCTGTAAGTTCGTGTGTATATTGATTGACACACACCGGTAACATCAGCAAGTTCCCTGGAGGTCCAGGAATCCCATCAGCCCCTGCAAGTCCTTGTCGGCCCTCGGGGCCCTAATGAGAAAGAGATAGACAGATGAGTGTGTAATATCAGTCTTGAGCCTGACTGTCATGACGAGTGTGTGTGTGTGTGTGTGTGTGTGTCTCACCAGGTCTCCTGGATCTCCGATCGGCCCCGGGGATCCCATAGGGCCGTGTTCACCCGGCGGCCCCTGTGTGAAACAACAGAAACACACGTCTGTCTCTGACACACACACATAAACACAGAGAGTCACCAAGCTGTCATGAGAGGTTACCTCAGCACCAGGCAGGCCTGGGGGTCCCATGAACAGCGTCCCCTCTCCCAGCAGTGCCGGCTCGCCCTTCTGCCCCTTCTCTGGACCGAGAGCCTGCGAGAACACCACAGACGTGTGAGACACACCTGCAGGACACACTCAGACAGAGACAGAGAGCTGAGACACACCTGACCGCTGAAGAACTGCTCCTGTCTCTCTGCAGGACGATACTCATAGTCCTCATACTCCTGATACTCAGTGTACTCCTTAAAATACTCCGTCTCGTTCTCAGCGTCCTCGTACTCCACTATCTGACACACACACACACACACACACACACACACACACACACACACAAACA